TTAATTTGGATGAAATTCGGCGTACCGCCGGATGGAGTAAATCTTCGGCGGTCTTTGCACGTTTTTATAATCGTCCGATCATTAAAGACTCGTCTTTTCAGTCCGCTATACTTAATGCCGATTAAGTTCTCCTTTTTCTATTTTATTGTGTCAGTTTTGTTATATTTTAATTTTGTATTTTCTGTTTTTCTTCACACGACTCCAAATAAAATGTTATGTCAGTAACTTTTATTTGCATTTACAAATCTGAGCTTTAAATTTCTACATATCCATCCGGACGAGACGTTGCATAATTGTTTAATTGAACGAACTTACCGTGAAGTTCGATTCCAATTATGCTGTCTCGTCCGGATGGACTATCCCACCCTCCCCTTTTTTCTTTTTCCCCTTATCAGATTTGTAGCTTTAAATATATGAAATTCAGTATCTATGTTCGCGCGGCATAGAGCGCGAGATGACGATCGAAGCTTTTTGAGCTTTGAATTTGCCTGTTGAGGATAACGCGACGGATCGCTACTACATATCCATCCGGACGAGACAGCATAATTGGAATCGAACTTCACGGTAAGTTCGTTCAATTAAACAATTATAAAGACTATAGCGGGAATTAGAACTACATGGAATGTTGAGGTGCTAACTTCGCACAGCACCCCAATATTAAAATTTCATAGTTCTGATTAGAGTTTCATTTTGAAGAGACGAAGAATTCCCTACAGTTTATAACAAGACTTCTACTTAATTTTGATAAATAGTTAGCCTATTTTTTAAATTTAAATTAAAAATTGTTATTAAGTAGAACTCTTGTTGTAAACTATAGGAAATTCTTCGTCTCTTCGAAACCAAGTGGCAACTCTAATCAAAACTATGGAATTTTAATGTTGGAATATTAACTTTACAAACGCTAAAATAAATATTCTTATTAAAATTATTATTAGGCATAAGATCCGATAATAAAAAATATAAAGATTTATTTATTCTGTGTGTCACATACATATGGGTCGATATTTATAAAAGTGTTGCAATGCCTTATATTAATCGTCTCTGTAATTTCTTCAATTTTTAATAACGTAATATAATAAAATGCCCTTTATGAGAAAAAACCTCGAGTACGCTCCTTATCACTGAATATTTGCGCAATATCGACTAGTCTTCATTGTACAAACACTCGCGCGATACCGACTGCACTCAATTCGATAATAAACCCCGTGTTCCCTTCCTTTACAGCCCGCGCATCAACCACTTCACATATAAACGCCGAGATTCTATTACGGCATGCTACGGCGACGGCAGCGGCGGCGGCGGTGGCGGCGGCGGCGCGGGGTCCTTAATTCCGCTCGCAGTTTCGTCGTACGTTATCATCGTGCCCGCCCGCCTATCCGCCCGTGCACAAAACGCGAGAGCGTTCAGACGTCGTGTTTAATGCTCGGGGCAGGAGGAACCTGGAACGCGATTAATCTCAAGGCACGAGAACTTGCTCGGTGCAGTTCCTTGCACTGCAGCGTACGGTTGTAACGATCGCGGCAGAGACGAGCGCATCCGATCCCGCGCCTCGCGCAGCGCGAAATTGTGGCAGCTCATCTCTCTACATGCCTCTCTCTCTCTCTCTCTCTCTCTCTGTCTCTATCTATCTACCTCTTTCTTTGTTGCGGCTGCATCCACCCTTCCCGTTACTTGTACGTGAAAAAGCGAATCACCCGGTCGTAAAGCTCCCGGCGAGCTGATTGTGTACCGGTGATAAAAAGAGCGACAATTAAAGGCGACTATAAAGGCGGCTGCGATCCAATGATCGCCCCATCAGGGTGTATACGCGATATCGCCCATGAATTTCAGCGAAATTTTTATGGATCGGCCGGGAGGAGGGGTGGTCGGCTAAGGGGTGGGGACGATTCCACAAATGTACGTCGTTTGCATTCAGCGACAATGACAAATTTAATAGCCGCGCGTTTCGCGGCCCGCCTGACAATTACGATGACACCCCGTACGCGCGAATAACGCCATACGTTTGGCCGGCCTGGTTATCGGGCGCGATAAAAAATGATTAGCGCGTGAAGATTACGTCGCGATGCGACACGGCTTTGCCATTTTCACGTTTCGCAGAGCGCGCGAGCTCGCGCGTTGTATATAAAGAGACCGTAGAAATAAAATTTTAATACACGCATGCAATATTTGCGCGTCGTCATGGATACGCCAATGCGGCACCATGAACGGCGCGCTCTAGCTTGCGCTCCAATTCTTGATTAGAAGACTGCACAGCCGATCCGGCTTTTATTATCTCATTGCGAATTTACACACATTGAAACGATCAATCGTTGATGATCGTTGATTTTCTATCAATCGACCGGCGCCACTTGTTTTACGCAATTGCAACAATATCGAGTTTTCCATTCGCAACTGCGATGGTTTTACACGGGCGGTTTGTGCTGTTAAAACCCTTGAACGCAATATGACGCGGACGACCTTCGTGACGGATTAGGAGCAAATCGGATTACAACAAATCAGCGGGGGCTTACTTCGCCGAAACATCATCAATTGCCATGCTATTCCATCGACCGATTATCATGTTGGATTTAATTGAAGAGCGCTCGAATTTACCCGGTCATAGAATTCTAGTTATTATCCTATATTCCTCTTGTGACTCCCCGTGTATAAAATATAATTTTAACTCACCGTTTCTAAAAAAGGGTTTTCACAAACTTACGATAAAATAAAAGCGTAGTAAATCGTTTAATAACGTTTTACGCAACGGACTTTTTGCGCCTTGTTACTTTTTCTCCAAGACGAGCCTTTTCCCTCCGCTTGAACACGGCTTAATCTGTTCCTTAACGACCTCGGCTATGGGGACACGCTCGATCGGCAGGTTAATTTGGCCGCAATGAAACCAGCCCCGGCCATTTCCCAGCGGATCCCAATACAAGGGATTTGGAACGAGCCGTAAGTCGGATTTTCGCTTAGCGATATCAGCTAGGTCGCACACCATTGATTGGTGGCACAATTCCAAAGTGCCCTTTAAAACTGTTCTATTGCCATCTAGAATGGCCCAAACTGTCATTCAACGGTATCTTTTTGTCGCCGTTTATTTTCTGGACGCGCGTTATTTAGTGGACACGCAAAGGATACTTTTAACCAATTTTTTTTTGCGATAACACATGAGAGTTGTAGTATATTGTTTTCTTTTCTCTCGTCAGTTTAATGTAAAATTTACGCGATTTGTAATAATGCGTAAAAAACGCGAATTAAGTTTCATATATCTATACGTATAATATATTCGGGGAATAGCTTGTATACACGATCGATAGTGTAATTTTGAGACGCAATCTGGATAGGGATGTGCGGCTTAATGATTACAAGATATTAGCTAGGTAGCCTGCTGCACGGCCTTTCTCAGAAAGTCCTTCATCATGTTCGACGTGAACACACCATATTTTCCAATATACAATCTCGGAAAAGGAATGAGGCCTGTCCGTTGATACATGGCACCACTCAAGGTGTATAAACGGTCGTAATTCATACTATTATCAGATCTGCCTGCGTGACTGTAAGCGGATAGCTTGTATAAGAATGAAAAAGGTACAGAGGAAGACAGAGGGTCGAAGGAGTGATAAAATAGTCAATAAAAGATAATTGATCGTTGACGATCTTTTGTCAATCCCCGATCATAATATTTTAGACTTTTAGAGAGATTGCCATTTTACATTTCACGTGACAGTCATATAATTCGACTTTGAATGTCAGACAGAAAACGAGATAAGGAAGAAAGAAACGGTGAATATAGAAGCTCACGCGCTCATAAAAATTGCAAAAGAACGTAAACGTGTTTCCTTGAACGTAAGAGCACGTCTTAAGGTAGTGGGCAGTATCTCGTGGATATCGATCGGTGCCGCTCCTAACGTGTGTCCAAATTTCTTCGCGCGCGCACAACAAAGATCGAAGTCCCGACGTGCTTGTGATTTATTTCGTTGGACACTTTCCTGGGAGGAACGTGACTGGAAGTACGGGTTAGCCAGTCCCTTAAATCACTGAAGCAGCACTGGAGAGTCGAAATCGGTATCTCGGCTGCTATATTCCGCGCACGATTGAGCCCGAATGGCGTTCCTACGATGCTCTATCATCGTGCCTTTGTCTTGTGGCTGCAAACGATAGTCCCCGGCAAAGTTGGAACCCAATATCGCCATCGAAAAGGAAACGAGATTCGAAATACGTGCGTGACTGTGGGAGAAAATCGCGCGAAAATATTTCCTCGTGCATTACCTCGACATTCCGTAAAAGGTTAAAGGAATTTTCGATTCTGGGAGGAGGCGGAAGAGGGGGTATTAAAATAAAATTTTGTATTGCATAAAGACTAACGATAGCTACTAATTGGTAAATATTCTCTTTTAGTCTTGTTTACACGACGTATTTTTATGTAGATTTAATAACGATAGAACTTTTTCGTGATATACGACCGTACCTCTCTTGCGTGAAGGCGGAAGAGGATACTAACGAGACGAAAAGATGAAACGGTCTTTACGGCAACATAGTGGGAGGTAAACTAAACCAACGTGATTTAACGACATCGTTCAAGATTTTAATACCTCGTTACGAAGAGTCCGATCTTTCGACTTTTTGCGATGCGACGTCTTTAGGGGGACTTCTTTGAGGCCCAACGTTACCTCGAAAAGCTCGTCGGGCGATTCATCTTTACAGCGACGAGCTAAACTTCATTAGTTAATTACGTGGCGGAACTTCACTAAGATTTTCTTTTCAAGATGCTGATCTTCGTCGCGCGAGACTCTCGTGCAACACGAGAATCTCTATGCGCGAGATGACGTCTCCACGCGGGTGCGGGGACGCGTTATTCGCAAGGAAACGAGTGTCCGATTTCAGAGGTCTTTCCGTGATTAAAGCCCTTCATTTAGCTGGCGCGAGAGCCGTTCGTTTCGTTCCGAAACACAAACGCAAAAGTGATAATGACGGAACGGCGGGGATAAGTATTGATCGCGCTCTGCGGCTGGCCAGTAGTTACGGGCCGGTGTGGTCAAACAGTCGTAATAGAACCGGTCGTGGTTAGCCAGTAGTAAGAGCGTACCTGCGGTCAGACAGTTAGTATCAGGTCCCGCTGCGGTCTGATACGAGCAACTGTTCTACTTCGTCATACTATGCTTCTGTTTTGTAACTTTTGATGGGTGTACCGTCAGTGTTATTTCAGCTCAAAAATGTAAATATTATGTATAAAAATATATATAATCTAACTATAAAATATTTTTTAAGAAAGAATAACTCTCTTCTTCTTTTATCTTTAGAATAAACTCGTAGTGTTTTTTTTATGAACAGTATTATTTTGTATTTTTCACAGTTTTAACAAACATTAGAAAAATAACAAAAATTTATCATCTGCACATTGAATGTCTGATACACAATTCAAGGGTATTTAATATTATATAAACATTATTATTACGATAACAAAATATGACGCCGGTAATGACAATATATAATAACATTATAAATTTGAAATGATTAAAAGGATAATATGGAACAGAAATTACGAGAGTCAAGTTGCTTGTCATGTCTCTTCAAACGGACGTCGCGTAGGAATAAAGTCGATTAAACGTTTAAGATTGAATTGATTACATGCATAATTACGATTTGAAAGTCACGTAATTAAATTTCTTACTTTGGAGAAAAACTGTCTGCCATCTCTAAATAAATTAAATTAACTTTTTTCATTCGACTACAGCTTTCCTTCGTGTCTTATTAGGAACAATTCCAATATTGTTATTCAAATTGTTATTTCATATATACTATAATATATACTATCATCATACTATATCATATATACTATAATAACAATATTGTTATTTCAATATTGTTATTTTCAAATCCATAATTAAAAACAAACAAGTGTATTGATAAATGTTTCATACATCTATTAGTTATTTTATTATTGTTACTTTATTATTAATAGAAATGTGTGTGTGTGTGTACAATTATTTGTACACTATATAATTAATACGATATATACATGTCTTATTGCATAAAGTAAAATATTCTAAAAGCAGAACATCGAAGTTAATAATTTTCATTGTTTGCCCATAGACAAAGAGAGTCTGTAATTATTTGCAGACCTCTCCTCTGTGCGTCTGAGCGAGCTTCAATGATGACATGAATAAAAGATATGAGAGGAGAAATTCGCGTAGAGTAGAAAGTTGCGCCGACGAAGACAAATTGCGTTACAGAATTCTTCAGGGGAAAAATATAAATGATTATACGCAAAGAGCGAAGAAGAATGAGGCTGGAAATAGAGACGTTTGTAATGTACGGCGATTAATCTCCGTGTTTTTCAGATCGAAGACAGGTACCAGCTGTTAAAATACTTACCTGTTGTTTATCAAATAATGTCGGCTTACACACGTACAGATACGAAGAATTTATTACCCCCCCGATGTGTAATTGTCTTTGTTTATTTAATCGCATAATTGATAGCGAGACTGTGTCAATATCTGTTTAATATCCAAGTGCGATAATTCATAATGTAATATCGACGCTGCAATGCAATGATGTACTTCATTCCGTAACAGGAATGCAGGCGCACGCCGCTCTGCTTGGAGAAACCAGTTAGAACAAACAAGAAGCTCCTAAGCATACAACCTTCATACTCTGTACTTCGAGCCGTTGCGTATATCAGAAACTTGCAAACCGTGGATGCAGCAGAGAGAAACAATAAACTTTGTTAGTAAGTAGATATAAATGCGGAAGTGCGGTCCGTATGTTGACTTTTAAGCGAAATTGGAGCATCCCTGATAAAACCTTCATCCAACCGAAAATCGATTCGCATGAGTCAGGTTTCGCGCCATTGTTTCAACTCGCCATGTAATTAAAAAAAAATGCACTAGCTTGCAACATAACTATATAGCTTCGCGGTGAAATCTGCGATCTCTATCCTGCGATCGACGTATGCGCAAAGCTTTTTGCTTGATCTAGAGCCAAGAAAGAGACAGGATACGCCTCCGACAACCTATGATCCTTGACACCTGGAAACGAGCCAAGCGCAGGTCCTCCGAGGGCGTCGAACTTATGCCGCCGGCAGGCTTCCAAAATTATAGCTCGACTGCGTCAGCAACTACGGTGTTTGTTTTCATCTCGATGTCGCGACGATCTATATATACTTTTCTACTTTCTTCACGTCGTTTTATTTTTTTCATTCTCATCTGTTGTCTCGCAATGGCGAGCAATTTCTCAGCGAATAATGAAACCATTCGATGGAAACGATGAAGGAGAGGGGATGGGAGAGGAGAGGGGGGAGGGGACGTCTCGATAACACGACTGTCGCGCATGCGAATCAAAAGTCGATATTATATTTTTGCTAACGGGCGAATATATAACATCAGTTACTTTAATCGGTTCAAAGAAAACGGCGTTCCTCGGTTAGTTGCGGCGAAAAGAAAACAGTCGGAATGGTTTTCTAAAATCCGATTACTTCGGCCGACTTAAGCGGATTTTCGTGGAAACTACGTCGCGTCCGCGTTTGAAATCCGTTGTGCTTTATAAACAAAAAGATGACAGGATTTATCTTCCGACGTTTCTTTGTATCCGGCAACAATGAAATTTGTTCCCTTTCTCACAAGTAAGAGTGATTTTGTGTAGGTGTCACAGAGTGGTCCTTTGATCCAGAAACTGCGCTTTGTAAGACATCTTAATTTTTGCTTTGTTAATGGATGATATTGTCTTGTAAGATGCACACGAGTTGATGATACAATAGTATGATGACGCAACAAGTCTATGGCTCATTTCTACTTATGTAGATTAACTTTAATCTCAGTTTAATTCGCTTTGTATCTTTTTCTAGTTCTAAGAATTAGAACTAGTTTTAAAAATTAGAGTATTATATGTTTATTTAACTCTGCAGAAATTAATTATTTCTGTAAATACCTGTAAATTCTATTGAAAAATAGAAATGTCAATCATTATTTCTATTCCATATCGGCGTCTTCCAAATAACATTTCAATTATTTATGAAATAAATCCGGTACTACACTTCCCTTAGTCTAATATATTGAATTAACAAAATCGTTATCTGTTATCTGTGATCTGTCACTCAAGCGTAGTCTCAGTTTGGCTAAAACATCGCGTAATTTTCTGATTCGGAACATTTTTGGATATATCCGATACGGTAGCTTGTGTCAATATCGTATCTAATACAGATTCCGTTTCGATTAATTTTAGGTTGAACTACTTGATGGCGGGTTTAAGTCCCATGTGGTATCACGCCACGAATGTCGCCTTACACGCCGCTGCGTGCATCTTAGTCACCAGAGTGAGCCTCGTGGTAGCTGCACTTCGGCCGGGATTCGCAGCGCTCGCCGGGTTGCTGTTCGCCGCACATCCCGTGCACACGGAAGCGGTAAGTGACATGTGACGGGGATGTCTCCTGGGGTTAAAATGAGAACATTTTGAGCCAAATATAATTTATTTTAATTTTTTTTAAATCTAATTCTGAGCGAAAGAGAGACCGTTGTCCGAACAAGTGCTTTAGTCGATCGCTCGTTATACCATAGTTTCGTTTGTTTATCGTTAGCTAATATTCAATAGCATATTCGCGAACATGTACTTACGCGTCGCACGGTTCGCAGCACAATGGCAAATTCATCCTAAACCAAACAAAACAACAAGATTAGTAGAGTCCACTCGCCACGTAACCGCTCTGCGTGCGCGAATAGAGTCTGGCTGATCCGCTTTTCCTAAGTGCATAAACGTAATTAGCCTAATCTTATTATGGCTATGATCGTGACGGACAGAATTTGAAGTGTTCGTCCATGTCCACGTTGAAGAGACAGAGAGGGGGAGAGGGCAGAAGGGGAGGGAGGGGGGAGGGAGGGAGGAAGAGAGAGAGAGAGAGAGAGAGAATGATTGTTGCTTCAAGATAGACTTGTTTTTGCTGTAATCAACGTTGGCGCTTATCGGCCATAAGAGAAACAATTAGTTAGGATATGCTCGCGTTACTTTAGGCGAATCGTAAGTTTTCTTTTGAACTATATAAACCGGAGGAATAGTATGAGAGTTGCGAGAGCTTCCATCAAGTATTTCTGCACGGCATCAGCGAGAATGATAAACTTCGTCGTTAATAATATTACCCTACTTAACCCGCTTTACTTAAGCATATAACTATAAAGCTTTGTCCGCCGTTATTGCGCAAATTATGTTATTATGTATGGAAATGGAAGTTTATAGAGCGTTAGATTAGGAAGTTGAGAAACGGCATGGAACAATGCGTCGGTGATTATAATACGTTCGTTGCACGTCGAAGTTTACATAAGTCGAGAGGAGCTCGGGCCGCTCTCTGCATCCTACAATCACTGAAAGATAATGTAGTTATCGATGGTTACGCATCGATAATTTTATGTTATCTCAAAATAATTATTTGTAAAGGTGGTACACGGCGGGCTTTCATTTTTTTTTTAATTGATATATTATTACATACTGCTCGACGCGGAATTCAGATTTATTCGCGGCTCAACGAAGCGATACATCATGATCAATGCGTCGTAATTTTTTGTAATTATGAATAAGCAATCACGTGAAGAATGTGCGGGAAACAGATTGTATAGATACGCAGATAAAGGCGAATTCCGCGTCATTAGCACGGGATCGTGCCTTTTGAGCGGAATTACTGGCGGCACACGACACTGGTTCGCAAGTCCCGGGTCTGCCCATTACAAGCTCGACCTGCTTGCCGGTCACGCACTGCATCCTGTTACATCACGTGCGTGCGGTATTGCATGTATTACTCGTTGCGTGCACGCGGGCAACCCTCGTTGCCGGTGTCACTATTGTGATATCATGTTCATGTCGTACGCGGACGGCCAAGTCAGATAATAACGTGTACTCAGATCAAATACTCCGCCATCCATGATTATTTTTTCCGCGCGGAGCGGAAAATACGTGTCCCGCGCGCGATCATCTCGTGCATGCAGCAGCACTCGGAGAATCAATTTTTTTCTACATTGTTATTGCAGATAGTACATTTTTTGTCGTTTTTAATTGCCGCGCGCCACAGATAAAATCTGACTGATTTCATAAATATCTCCTGACCGAAAACAATCAGTGCCATTTCCAGATTCGAAAACGGCAGAAAGAGCGCGTCATACGCGGCATAACATACCATGTATTCCAGCGGAAGTATTTTCGAGATGCTTAACGAGCCACTCGTGCGAACGGTTTTTACTCACATTAAACATTAAAATATTTTCACATCAATCAGCCATCACTTTGCCTCTATCGTTACACAGAATCGGCATAAAACTCCTTTATACGATATGTGCCGTTAAAAAATTCTCATGCTTTTTGGATTTATACTCTTCTGTCACGAAACGTTCATTAGCTCGATATTAATAAATTATGCCATGTCGTGTGTAGTATCAAATATGCACAAGGATCGGAAATCTTTCGTCTCAATCGGGAAATGCGCGACATGAAGTGATTCTCGCTGGAACGCCGGTTATATCGAGCTCCCATTTCGCGTCTGTCACGATATATGATCTGTTATCATATTATCGTTGTCCCGACCGGCGCAATCGTCGATTCTTTGTCAGTCAAATCAAGCTGCACAGTTTGATTCTATTTGCCAAAATGATCAGCCGGGTGAAAGCGCCGCCAGTTCCTGAATTAAGTCCTTCGTTGAACCGCTGAAAGGAATCTCTCACTAATTAAGTACAACGCCATTGAAGCGTTTGGCTTTTGGTCCGATGTAAACTGGCCTGAACAAAGGACGCGTTTGCGAGGACGGAAGAAGAAGGGCTGTCGGGTGAAGAGAGAGACTGCCCGACCGTCATCCCGGACTTCGTCGTTCGGTCACCGAACGCGGAAATCTCTACGATCGATCAATTACCATGCTCGTGTTGCCGTTCATTACATAGGCCGCATTCTACTCGTGTTCGTACAACTAATTAATTGGAAGGAGAATCCACCGAGTATTTATCGGTTGAATAATGAGTTTATCTTTTTACATCAGACATGATAAGTCTGTTTGTCATTAGAATAAAGATCGATAAGTGATTCTTTAGAAAAGTAATAATCCGTTTCATGTACAAAAGAGTCTGAAAATATTGATTTTTAAGCAAGGAGAAAATGTTGATTTCTCTCTTTTTTCCATCTATTAGAAATTTAGAGAAATACAGGCTTTATGGCTGATTAAAAGTACTCTTCGTAATATATCGAAGTATATTTGTGTATGTTGAACTTACTGAAGATAATAATATGTTATTATTTGATACTCGTTATATATATGCTAACAAACTCGTGTGTGTGTATTGATTGGACTGGCTTTCAGCAATCTGAAGAACGTTTACGTATGCGGCTATTGGAATAACACATCAAAGATAATCACGGTTTTGCTCGAGCTGCAATCGCACGTCTGAGTCAAAGACTGCTCGTTACACTTCTCTTGTTTTTGTGCAAAATATTTCCGTAAAATGTTCAATTCCCGTCTGTCTTTGATTGGCGAGTGAATACGAGATTGTCAGAAGTGACGATGAATACATGAATTAAATACGTTCTTTTGAAAGCATTTCAAAAATCTTATTTTACTTTTATATAATCTTTAAGCGTTAAAAAGTACTGTTAAAATTCTCATTCCGATAATAGATTCTTATTAATTAAATAGTGTGATTTATTAAAATATTTGATTGAATAGCATAATAGGTTATCTTTTACTATTTCTTGCTAGCGCTACATTTCTGTAAAAATAGTAGGATAAAACCCGGATAAAAATCGTCCTTTCTTTATGAGCTTATGAATATCTTAAGACTCCTTTATCTTATCTACATTCATTCGTTTCAATATTGCATTGAAAACACTCACGTTATTCGATAAGATCTTACGATTCCGCGTATCATGCGATCTCTTCATGCTCACGATCGTCTGCATCGCTTCTGGCTATAAAGTCGCTCGATATTATGATTTGCACATGAAATTGGATGTATCGATTTTTCGCGATACATTCATCGGTATCGGCGAGGTACCTCGCGCGTTATCCGATGAGACAAATGCCGCGGGCGAACGACGAAAGTAGCCTAGATTAGAATTGGAACATTTAGATCGCACGATATCGCCTCGGAAGTGCCTCGGCGAAGGTACACCGGCCATTTTGTAAAATCGCCGTCCATCTATTCGGGATCGGGGAAATGTATTCAGCCGGCTAAGTGATTCCCGTTGAATATTACTTTATTATTTTACTCACACTTTTGTTCTTCGCGTACGTATAAGGCCCGGCGAAGAAGAAGAACAATTCTTCGAAATTACAGCTATTTTATCGGATTAAAGCGCGCTCCCTTTCGTACAATGGAACATGAAGAACGCTCAATTTCACCTCGTCCATTAAGTGAGCGTAACGAAACGATTTCCATAAGGGAAAGTGTACATTAGAAAAACGGCGTTCGCTAAAAAATCGCTAAGACTAAAAGCTTCGCTAAATAATCGCCTTATACCGTTGTTTGTACCTCTTCATTCTTCGCGTTCTCTCTTTTTTTCTCCCCTTTTTATCTACCTTCGCCCATTTATGTATACCGCGTATAATATTGTAAGTTACAAGCGAAATACAATAATAGTGTACATTGCTTTCCACTTTATCACCAAATTTAACTTTATCACCTAACTCGAATCAGCACAAAATGGGACATTAATTCGCTAACTCTTTACATATCGTGATAATAAGATTAATTAGTCAGCATGAATGTTTATACTCTCGAGTATTTATTTTGTTTATCTCATACGTGGAGAAATATGGCTAGGGGCAATTTACAGTGATAACAAAACTCAACCATTTACGCAATATTCGTTTTCCGTAGGATGCTCAAAATAGAATTTTATGGTGTAGACGGAATATATGGACTATTTTTCAATGTTTCACGAATAAATAGTATAAAATATACAGATCTCATTGTGCGAGACACAGGTAAATGGCTAATATTCTTGCAGAAAAGCGTATACGTTTGTAAACAGCTTGTTTTAGACTTGGGTTTTTACTCGGCACAGTATAGGTACCTTTGAAAACTGTTTAGTAGTATTGTCTTTACTCAAAGCATCCATCGAATTGAAAAAGAAGAACGTGGGGAGGGGGTTCTTCCGCTGTGCGCATGTACCGTCGAAAGCAACGGGTGGGCTAAAACAAAATACGTGTTCCGTTTCACGATGCACGGAAGAGAAGCCGCTATATACGCTCGAAACACTCGCGAAAGGGAGGAGGGAGGGCAGGAATAAAGAGGGAAGACAGATCTGAGCGAGATGCGTCCCCAATGCCTTCTCTTTTCGTCCAAAGGAACTAAAGAGCATCAACGTGCATACCGGAATGTTTTCTAGGTATTGTTGGGAAGCATGGAAGGGGGCGGGAGGCAGGGAGGCAGGAGA